GAGCATCTTGTAACTCATTATTCATCTCACATTCTTTAATAGTCAAAATCTTTTGTCAATACTTCTAGTTTTCATAGACTCTCTTCTATACATGTTCGTTTGGCAAAGCATCAATTTTTATGTTTTGAATAATGAATTAGTAGAGAAGGAATTGTTGAATGAAGAACTTGAAACATTGAACGAAAAGAACAATATATAAATAATAAGTTTTAGGATACTCAAAAATCATAAGTTAATGTAAGTTGTTCTTCAAATATAACATAATTGTTCATATAGTTATTTTGTAAACCAATCTAAAAAGTTATATAATTAATTAGAGTTTGGTGAAATATGTAATCCACATTAGATATAATAAACTTGTTTGTTTTCCCCCTTCGAATAAATGACAAAACTAAAGAAAAAAATGTTTTCCCCATTTTGAAAATTCCAAAAGTTTTCACTAGGGATGAACTTATAACATTGCATCTTTCCCATAAGTAGAGTTACAACCGAAAGGTAAATTAGAACTTTTCTAATTTAAACTTAGTGTTTTATATGAAAAAAGTATAACTACCAAAAATCTTATTTATTAATATATTTAAAGAATATTAATATCTACCTTTCATAGTTTACCTCGATTTATCATTTGTCATGGTATATATTATATAGAGATAAATATATAAATTTATTTAGGCTAAAGACAGGATTAAAAGTAACCATTGGCGCAACATAAAAGATCTGATTTACAAACTTAATATGATCGAATCTTCTGCTTGCTTTCTCTTCCGATCATTGTTATCTCCAAACACAAAGGATGGTAGATATATTTTGTGGTAGATATATTTTATGATCAAATCCAACCGCCCCATGGAATGTTGTATACATGGGGCATGGATGAATGCCGAGGAACCAAATCGCCCCAACTCACATAGAAGAAGAACAAACTCATTATTCCTGTTTCATTATTCAACTATTGGTTATGTCATTGTCTCAAGAAATCTTAACTGGTACAAGCAGGACAAATACAGAATAAATAATAAACTAAGATCAAATGAGAGCAAAAATTATAAATTAAGATCAAATTCACCTCTTTTAATCAAGGAAGTCACGCTCGAGAAACGGAAAAAAAATATCTCTAACAAGAGACAAAACAAATCAAATTGCATGGTAGTGATTTTTGCTAAATGAATAAACTTCATCTCGGTTAGATTGGAGCTGCATAATATAGATCAAGATTTAGTAAAGATTTGAATATTCAATAGATATGAAATTAAGTAGATGTGAAAACCAGATCTATAGAAGTAGTGCAAATGCATACCAGTATTTAAATAAAACTCATGGTAGCACCATTGAAACAGTGTTATTACATTTACGAGCAAAGGTATTTATGCATATATAACAGCTCAAAACAGAATAATCGCAACGCACTAATTAATGGAAGGAAGTTTTAGATAGTTGGAGAAAGTGTTTAAGTATTTGGGAGATGATAAGAAAATTTTGAGAAAAGTACTTGTATATTGGCTTGATACAAACTCAAGTACAACCCACTATTTATACTAGTGACATATTTAAATCAACGATTGAGATTTTACCACCACAAACATAATCTAATGGTTATAAATTATTTTCTAGAATTTTCTTTACTATTCTAGAAAAAATTCAAACTTATTCTTATCTTCTAGAGAGCTTCATAAATCTCTCTAGAATTGCCTTCTAGAAGTTGGACCTTTTACAATATCAATTTGGGCTTAGAATTCTTAAGACCAAAAGATTAACAAACCCAAAATCAATTTAAATTTTCAACAACCCCTTTCTTAAAGAAATTTTATCCTGCCACCCTCCACCTTAACCTATCACCCACACATAATTTCATTATGACAAAAATACCGTTTGCATTATTTATCTTTTAAAAATCTAGATATTGTAAAAAAATCATTATGTAAAACTAGTAAAAACAAAATATTTGATAGTTATTTCAAAATATTTAGTGCGAAAATTTTCGCGAGAGAAAGTTAACGCATTTTTATCGGAATTTTATAAATACGATGCGTTTTTACCAAATATTTTGACAAATCCAGTATTTTGTTACATTTACACCATATTTTTTTAAAACCAGTATTTTGTTGTAGGTTTATTGGATTTTTTTTGGAAAGTTCTGCCTTTTTTAGGGTAGGTGTTGTGTTCGTACCAGAGGTTTCAAAAAGTTCGATACATTTATACTAGTATTTCAAAATATCTCGAATCCATATAAAAGTATCTGATTTTTTGAAAAGTTGAGTAACCAGAGTTTTTGCATAAACAAAAAATAAATGTTAGTTCAATATGCTTCATTTATGCGATCCAGATTCTGACGACTCATCTGCATAATTTACATAGATTTTTTTTACCAGTGACATTGTAGTTTGACTTACAAGTTTAATTTTCAATTTGTTCAAAAACTAGTAGTTTTACATTATCTCTAACATTGATAATTAATTTTGTTTATGTTATATATGATAGATATTTTCCTCTCGATCTGATGTTTTGAAATGGACACATTCTTTTAGTAAACAACATAATATTATTGTTGTTATTATACGTTAAAATAATTTTGATGCAGATGAAAAGAAGTATTGAATCATCAGGATGCTTTTTTTTATGGGCACATGTAAAACGATCAAATGGTATGAATGAAAGAAAATAAGATATTTTTGATTAAAAAATGGTTTTAATGAAGAAATGAAATGATTGAATGAATAATGAAATTCTTAAATGAAAATATCATTAAACCCTCTGTTATGAAATTCCAAAGTATTTTATTAAATTTGCTAAAAAAGTTAATGCGAGAGGAAAAGCAATTTTAATGATGCATACATATTTCATCGCATCACATTCAAGCCATCCATTCAATACCATCAAATCTATTCACACATAATCACATATAAGTTTGCATACATTCATGTTCACAACTGTTCAAGCAAGTATCCATTCATTATTGTTCAATTCATTGAACATCAAGTACAAAATACATAAGTCTGAGTTGAGCTACCATGGTAAAGAGTCACCTGGTTAAAGCAGCATCATAGCATAAGCAAATTCATCACAATGATTTCAACAAACTCACAACTACATTCTACATACGAAGCCACATTCAAATAAATGTCATTCAAAATGTCATGATAGTAAATTGTTTTACAAACAGTAAAATAGGAAAAGATCCATTAGTGAAAATCTAGTGGGAGTACCAAAATTCTACACTACAAACAAAATATGCAAACCACAAATTTCAGAATTCTGAAATATGTGCATGACACTTTCCACTCAAAAATTTATTCCTCCTTAACAAGTTTTGATTGTATTATTTTTCCAGCTCACCACCCCACAATTCCTTAGCATAGAAAACCCTAATTGAATCCTTTATATATTGTCACTATTCATTCAAAGGAGACAGAGAAAGAACAAAGAAAAAGATAAACAAAGAAAATCAGCAACATCAGAAATGTTTTTTCTCTAACCCTCGCACAAAGCTCAATTCAGAACCCTAATTCTCTTGAGCTTTCTCGTTAAAACTTGAAGTTGAAGAGATAAACCTCATCATTCGCTATATAATCTTCAACAAGCATACAAGACAAACCTAAAAAGGGAAGGAGAGGACTAACCGGATTCCTCAAAATTTTTCCCGAGCTCTGCGTTGAAACATCTCCGCAGGTAATTCTTTATTCACTCATTTTGAAATTCCTCGTGTATGGTATTTGAAGTCATGTTTTTTTTTTGGTCTTTTTTTGAATAGTTTCTTTAGGGTTTGGGTGTTTGAATTTGAATCTAAGGGTTGTTCATTACTTTTTTTTTAAGGATTTAAGTTTAAGTTTCATAAAGAGGAAGAAGGGACAGTTACTTTGGTACATAAATGTTGGTGATTGTTGGTGCTCCATCGCCGATGCGATTTCAGGCACGGCGGAGATTTAAATCTTGATCAACATCGAGCATTTTATCAAAGTAAAATTAAATAAATTTATCATACTTAGACCATATTTCTATTAAAATATGAAAAGGTAGTTGGAATATAGCCTTTGATTTCTCTCCTCGATTGTTTGAGTACGAGGAATCTTCTTTACTACTCGAATGATTGTATTTTCTAAAATATTTCTAATTCATTTCACAACAAACTATTTTTTTTATCAAATCTAAACTAAATCTATTTTCTCAATCACTTAGATGAAAAATAGAGAGAGTCGAGTCTTTGCCTCACTCTCCCGATTATTTGGATAATAAGAAGCCTTCATCGTTGTTCGAATAATTATCATTTGCTTAAAATACATTAACTATAGCAAACCCCTTCCACTACTAGAAATGTTGTATTTAGTCTCGGCCAGTTTCCGAGGCTATAAGGCAAAAAACCGCCGCTACTAGCCAATTAGCCTCGACGTAGCGTCGGTGTCGGGGATAGGCTAAAACGCTCGAAGCTAACTTTTAGCCTCGGCAAGAAGATCTGTGTCTAAAGTAGCCTCGGTCTGTCCGTGTCTAATGTAGCCTCGGTGAAGCCGTGTCTAATTTAGCCTCGGTAAAGCCGTGTCAAAAAACTTAAAATAGCCTGGGCCTGACCGAGGCTAAAGTCAAACTCCATAAGCCCCCTCCAATATTTAGCCTTGGTCCTGGTCGAGGCTAAAGGAACATTTTGCCTCGACTTTTTCGAGGCTAAGTTCAAACTTTATAACTGCAAAATATTTAGCTTTGGCCTAACCGAGGCTAAAGTCAAATTATAAAAGTCCTCAAAATTATGCCTGCTTTCCAATTCTATAATCTATATATGTTGGCCATGTTTTCCAATAATGGCAATTATGTCATGTCCTGTTCTCCTTCAATCTATTTATCAAAACATATAACACATGAAGTAAGAGTTATCAAAATATTACATAGATTGAAACAACAACAAAAAAAGTAGTAATATCTACAACAAAAAACAGCCCCAAAAACTCGGAATACATTGAAAATCATGTCCAAATTTTTTTACATCCGAGACTACTTCTACTAACACTGCATGATCAATCTTCACTTAATGATTGGTCATCTAAATCATCATCATAGTGAGGATTTGACGATCGAATGACAACTCTAGCAGATTGACCATTTGTAGGGTCAAGCTTCTGCATGATAAATGCCTTCAAAGCATTCAGTTCAGACTCCATCTTCTTAACAAACTCGTTAGACGCTTGATATTGTTCGGTTGCCTTCTGAGCAATATCATTTGACGCCTGAATAACTTTGGTAGCCTCTTCGAGTCGAGTTGATGTAGCTGCAGCCAATTGTTCAGCTCTAATTCTAGATGCTCTCTCTGATTCAAAGGATGTCCCAAACATAGATCCGCGGGAATTTTGAGGTTGTTGGATAAAGGATGTAGATCCATGCTTCACATACAAATAATGACAATCACATAAGTTGATCACACTGAATACCTGCACATCAGTAACAGGTGCTGCTGCTCGAGGGATAATTGTAGTTCCAGAGGATAACAATCTGACAAAAGGGTACATAGTGCATACAATTAACACACAAAAATAGACCCATTACTGTGGTGAAGTCTTAGCTGAAAGTAATACTCACTTTCCAAGTTTCAAATGTTTACTATTCTTCCATACAGAAGTAATGCAGTAAATATTTTCAGCACTCATTCAGCCTAATATACTTACTATCTAAACACCAAACTCATCTCCTTCAAGTGTTCTACTTCTACATGAAAACACAACAAGATACATGCTAATAATACCAAATCAGGATTAACATTTTAAGTTATTAGTCACAATTAATTCACACAATGCAAGAAAAGGAAGGAACCATATATCAGTCAATGAGTTCCACTAGATCAACTTTTATATTTAAAAGTTCTCTTGGGTATAAATGGACTCAATTCAACAACAAACAAGTTGTATAAAGCATGATCTTACTTTACATACAAGTTGTAGCCTGTTGATACAAAATTGAATCCAACTGATAGCACGCATCTATTTTGCTTGTGAATTTCATCTTGACTCCCAATTCACTATCATGAATACTAATTCATTCTAACAAATCATTACCTAAACTTTTTATGTTTATTATGGTAACAAGGAAATGAAAAAACTCAATAGAAAAAGAGCAGTTAAGAATTCCCAATCCTATTAATAAAATCCAATAATAAAGAAACGGAAAATTTAAAGAGGTATGAGAACAAGGTTTCTTGTTAATAGAATGATCAAAATCTATGACTCACCTCAACTCTTTAATCAAGGAAATCACGGTCGTTGAAAAGAAAAATATAACTCTGACATGATTTTCTCTGTATGACAAAACTTCATCTTCAACTATTAAAATGAACCTGCATAATTTAGTAGACGTGGAATGAGGTCTAAAAAAATAGTGCAAATACGTACTAGTTATTATATCAAACTCATTATAGCGCCATTGATTCAGGCTGAGTTGGTGTTAACAGCCTACATATGCAAAAAATATATTTGAGGACATTTAAGTTGCAGCGTCGTAGAATTTAAAGCAAGAGTTTAAAATCGTGTAATGATGGGTTTGTATCTCTTTGGTCCAATAACAACAACATTTTTAAATTAAAGATGAAAACAATTAATTTTTCTATTAATTTAAGAGTAAGTGATCCGATAAGTAAAATTTCATTATTATTATTTTTTTCTTCAGTTTTTTGGATTATTAGATTACCCTAAGTTTTTCATAAGGATAGGATTTCTATGAGGATGCAAATAATGTTGAAAGCTTTGAGAATAGAGAATTCGAAAACAGAAGCATTATGTAATATAGTGAAAGTTTGTGTCAATGTGCTTATTTTTATAATGAAAGAATAACTTATTTTCAAAAGGTATTGCTGACTTGTTGTCCATTAATCTCTATCTTGATCAGAACTTTTTATAGCAATCTCAACTATTTAAAAAAGTTTCATAGCTAGATTCCATGACAAACACATAAAATGGCTGTCCAATATTCTGCCTCACGTGTGGAAAAAGGGACAATTGGTTACTTCTTTGACATCCATGTGAAACATGTATTTCCAATGTAGAAGAAAGAATCATTTGTGCTTTTTTGATCATCTACGTCTCCTTCCCAATCATGATCCTTATATTCAATGAGCTTGTAATAATCAGAAACACAGTTATAAAAGCTTATGTTTGTTGTAATTTTGACGTAGCCAATAATCCTCTTTCTTGCCTTCAAAAGCACAAATGGAAGGTTTGGACATGAAAAAAAGTACACTTTGATTCCAAAAAAGAAAGGGAGTGGAAATTATAAAGACCTTTGTTTAGGATAGATAATATTAGAATGTGATGTTTTATTCAATAATGGTACTGGGTTATGAGTTTTGTGTAATACTCCGTAATTAATAAAATGCTTTAAATATTATTAGTTAAGATTAACTGGGCTCTGGTGTGCTCTAAGAATTATCTATTAAGATAATTAGAGTAACTGATGAACTCAGAGTTGATTTCATTAATATTATCTGACTCTAAGATTTTATTAATTGGCGCTTTAGAGATATTTTGGATACCCTTAATTTGGACTATTAATCAAGTTAGTCTTACTAACTCTATTGGGATATTTCTACATATCATTTTCTTTTATTTTTCTTATCCTTCCAACTTATGGGATAAGTAGTAGAAAGAAGGAAATCGAATACAAAGAAAAAGATAGTAAGAGAAAGAAAAAGAAGAATAGAGAAAAAGAAGAGAAAGAATGAAGAAGAGGAAGAAAATACTAGAGGAAGAGGAAACTTTATCTTCATCATCAAATCATCTCATCTTCATCATCAAAAACTTCTTCATCATCTAGAGGTGGGTTCTAAATAGAAACCTAAAGTTAGGATTTTGGAAAGCATGGTAAAGGTTAGGTCTTTATATGTGTGAATCCAACTATTATGTGAATCTTGAGAATATATGGAAAATCATGTTTTTGATGCTATTCTAATATTATGTTTGTGTTTTTTGTGACATATACGAGCCTTATGAGGAGTGAGATTTAAAACCCCTTTTGATTGAGCAGTTTATGCAGGTGAGAAGTCATGAATCACAGGGTTTTCACTGCGAGCTCAAGCAAACTGCAGGCGAACGTGGCAGTCTGCAATGCTCGTACTGCGAGGCGAAAGTGAGCACTCACCCAGAGTTCGTACGTTGAGCACTTAGGGCTTTTTCCACAGCCATTATTTTTCCTGCCTTGCCCAAAGTTTGCACAGCTAACTTAAGGTGAAGGGTCTCGCCTGGCCTTTGCACTATGAACCTGGAAGAGTTATTCACATTTTGTTTTGATGCTTGCTTGGTTGTTTCACATGTATATGTATGGTTACTATATATCGTTTACATTGATTATGATGAGTAATATACAAGTGTTTTTTTGAATTGGTGGATTGACTAAACTGATGGTTATATGATTAAAAATAATTAAGAAAAGGGAGGAAAACTTGTCACAAATCAATGGAATGACCTAGGGATGTAACTAGGAGTTGATAGATAACTTAGATGCGTATGTGTGCATCCATGACAAGTAGTTGTCTAGTGGAAAATTGAGACACTATATGAAACATGAGTTGGTTTTACGTTAGTTTGAGAATCAGACATATGTGGCCTTGTGATTGTCGAATACAATCACATTTGTGTGAGATCACTTAGTTGGAACCAATCCCTTGAATTGTGTCATTCCAAGAGTGGAGGCTTAATTAGAGAGCTCCTCTAGAATCTATGGACTAGTACTTTGACAGATTTGATTCTCGTTGTACGCATGGAGCCTACGGGTAAAGAGACTTGTGAAGGGGTACGACCCCATGAGAAGTGACGATTCAAGTGGATTATATGTGCCTTGGATTTGAATCCATTTTGTAAGACAAGATTTGCAAGGATCCATGATCCGTGCTGGACTCTTAGACGTACGAGAGGATGGGAAAAATGGATGCCTTGGTCAGGTTTCCGATTAGTGATAGTTTGAGTTGTTGAACTCAAACAGCGCATTTTCATACAGTGTGAAGTTGTGAACTCAAGTCTTGTCCCTTACCTTTGGACTTGAGCTAGGATTAGTTAAAATCTTGTAAAATTGAGAGAATCCATAACGTAGGGAACTCACTGGAATTATTATCTCACCCCATGTTATTGATTATATTTTAGGTGGTTCAGATTCCGTGAAGGGTAAGGACAAAGTTGTTTCATGTCCTTACTTGTCTTAACATTTTAGGATGGCACTGTTTCAGTTGTGAACACTCTATTTTGAGGTCATTTAATATGATTTAGTTCTTAGTCATTGGAGCATCTTGTGTATATTATACCATTGATTTTATATTTTATGTTTTGCCATGTAATGTATACAATATGCTACTCGGAACTTATGAGTATTTTAATATCAAACTTACAAACATGTATAATATATATCTTCTAGAGATATATATGTATTTATATATGAGTGTTAAATTTTGGATTCATAGAACAATGGCGGGAAAGAGTTCAATGTAGTTATATGGCAACAAATCTTTTAGTTAATTGAAAGTACAATTAGTAAGTATTTTTGACCTTTTCTCAATGTATTTTTCTTTTATGAGTTCTTGTCATTAAGGGTCTGTTTGGTTCAACGGAGGGGAGGGGAGGGGAGTGATTTTAATAAAGGGGAGGGGAGGTGAAGAGATGTATTTTAATTAAACGTATGTTTGGTTCATAAGAGGGGGAGGGGAAGGGAGGGGTTTTAAAACTAACTTACCTTTTTACCCTTAAAATATTATAACAATCATTAAATAATTTTTTTTTAAAAAGTATTCACCAAAAAAAATTGTTAATTCTAAAAAACATAGATAATTAAAAACACAAAATATTTAACATTTAAAATACTCTAAAATATCTTAAAATGAAAATAAAATATCGATAAACGTCATAAAATCAAATTACATGATCAATGATCATATGAACCATTTTCTCATCTTGATAATCCATTTAATCCTATAACATATTTATAAGATTAAATTCTACATAATATATAACTCATACTACAATTATATATTGATATGTAATATAATACAATAAATTATAAAATAATTAAGTTATTACAAGCAATATATTAAATAAAAATGAATAGAATAAAACACATGAAAAAAAAGTTGAATCATAATAATAAAAATAATGGAGTTGTCATTAATCAAATGAAGATTTATAATAAGGTGACAAAAATTAAGGTATAATATTAATAAAGACAATTAAAAAATTTATTAAATAAAACTGAGGATAATTTTGTCAATATAATAAAAATACATGTTATCATTTCTTCCCCTCCCCTCCAAAGACCTCCAATTTGGAGGGAACGAAAAAATGCTTCAAGAGGGCCTCATAAAAAATTGAACCAAACACACATATTTTAAAATATTCCCTCCCCTCCTCTCCCCTCTCCTCCAAAACCCCAACCAAACTGACCCTAAACTAACATAAATTTTTTTTATATGTCTCTTCCTATTATCGGATAAAATATAGTTGGAATTATCATATTCTTTTCATTATAGATGACTATTATA